AATAATTTCTTGGGGGCGTTTTTAATAAAACAATTATTCCACTCGCGCTTGTTGGATATGAGATGATTATAGCCAACTCGGCGCTACGCGCCTCGTTGGCTATCTATCATCTCATATCCAACGCGCGCTTGTGGAATAATTGTTAAATATGAAGTTCATATATTTTGTACTGCGGTACTACTGTATTTTGTTCTGTCGGTTCTACTGCGAGGATCGTGCATCATATGTTACTTTGATTATGTTATAATTGAGTGTGCATATGCATATGGACGTGGTCTCTTTGGACTCAATACGCGCTGTTCTTTGGGAGCCTTTCGCTTTCGTGGTGAATCCTTTTTCCACTGAAAAATCGAAGGGACAGCATCTTGCTTCAGCTTTCTCAGACCTGCAAGGGTTTTCGTGAAGTCACTCGCCTTGAAATGTCTACTACACACCTTGGTATGACGGTGGTCGATCACAAAATTATCACCAACATCTCTTCGAATTGCCTGAATCCATTTTTGTCTCAGTGCTTTATCACTTGGAAATTAAAAATGAGATATCTTCTCACTATTAATCACGTATGTCTTCGTAGTACACAAAGGGACACAACAATTTAAAAACCATATTACGAGTAGTTAGCAAGGGAACAGCGTAAAAAGATCAAATAACAACAAAGATGGCAGGCCCGACCGTCCTCGTTTTGATGTTTTTTGAATAAATTAGAATCCATTACCTCACGGACATTTTGGGTATTGGATACGGTGTATACCCGATCCTTTGGACGAAAGAACTTTGAACTTGACATTGTATAGATTGAATGCAGCCTGAAGGGTGATATGGTCACCGAACGTACCGTTTTGGGACATTGCAGACAGACAGGCGGGCCATGTTAGATCTGAAATTAGGGGGGTTAACGGCGATACAATTTATGATTTCTTTTCGCATCGTCATGTTAGATCAGTGAATTCAAGTCATTCGAGAGCTATTACATTTTGCGCAGTTACATAATGCGTAAAAGAAGGAATTATATTTCGCGTTAAGTGATTACATTTTGCAGTAATTGTCATCACATTTTGCGTCAGTATTACATTTTGTGGCGATCATCACATTTTGCGGCGTAACACCTTTTCCAAGAAGTGCAGAAAGCGTTCAACGATAGCCAGAAAAATTCAAGGAAACATTTAGCTATTTGACCTTTTTTGACAGTTCAAGATGACAACGGTCGGATTTGAAATAGGAAGCAGGGATGGCGTTCGAGAAATCGAAGATGGAAGATTAACTCAAGCTGTGGAGGTCGGAGATATGATGGAGAAAAGTGCTCTATCAACTCATAGCCACAAAAACAACCAACACGCAATGTGTCCATTCAGTGGGGTGGGTGCGGCATCAGACATGAGGCCCCAGGAACCTAAATATCTGAGACTAAAGAATTGGATCGAAGACACCCAAGCTGTTGATACCTTGTATCAAAAGGCGACGAACGTAAGTAACAGTTTCGTTCAATCTTAATCCTAAACGCCTGAGTTCTAGCTTTGACTTATCCCTTAACCTAGTTTAGAGACTGTATCACCGATAGCAACATGCTTTTGCTCTGCAGCAATGTCATGAATAAAGCCGTCAAAATTTTTAACGTAGTTGGTGCACGAGTCTACTACTGAAGACACCCATTTCCTTTCCACTCGCCTCTCACATCACTCCACACTCTCATGATCAAGAATTCTTTCTTATTTTTTACCCCTTCTTCCTCAGCCTCGTCACTGCACCAATGGCCGATGCACCGGATCAATAATGTACCCGTATGGAGGAGAAACCCCCACACCACGGCCGTACGGGATACCAAGACCTGTAGAGGACATCAAAGTTGACGCCCAGGAATTTTTCAAACAGTACTACTCTGCCATAAATCTGTGAGTAAAACACGCTGCATTCGCTTCGGATATGAATTGTGATGCACATCGGGGGTGATTGTGAGAAAAACGGTGTCTTCTGTATTAAAATGATTATATTTTATCATGAAAACCAGTGGAAACATTTTAACGATTTAAAAGACAACAAATGGACGCACCGAATTTGACTATGGGTAGTGTGCTGAGATTGGTAGGTAAGGGTGAATGTTGAGTAAAATTAGTCTTAGGAGTCTAACCGTAAAAGGAAAGCAATTCCGTCCGTTCAATTCCCCTTTGTGGCAAGGTATACGAGTACTCCTATGAACGGGCTACTATGAAATCTAGGTACGAATCGTTTATCGTTACGATAAGGAAGGGAAAAATCAGCAGTCCAGCCAAGGTGTCGACTGGCCTATGTTTATCCTAGTTTCCGTGCCGTAAAGCGACTAAGAGTTTTATTGTACCCCCTGGATGTGATGCTAGTCCATCACAGATTACCTCTCCTCCGTCCCTTACTTCGTCAGGTCCCTTAACAGTTCACCGGTACCCATTTCTACTCCTGGATGGAGAAAAGTAAGTATTTTGCCTAGGAACACAACCTTATGTCCTGGTAGGGATCCGAAACCGAACCTTTCCACGCAAAGTTCAGTGCCGGCCCCAACGGTTAAATCGCCGCCTCTCCCCTGTTGTCGAAAGAAAAATTTCGAAAAGAGCTCTTATTGATTGAATGTGTTTATCGCTTTGCAGTTGCGATAGTGACGAACACAAAAAGAGACTAGAAGAAGTCTTTAGGACACTTGACGAAACTGGTATCTATGACTTTACCGGGGAGGAACTAATTTTTGCCGCCAAAACAGCCTGGAGAAATGCCCCAAGATGCATTGGACGAATACAGTGGAACAATCTTCAGGTTTGATTTCTTCATCTTGTCACCAAAAATACTTTTTTACCAGCACATTGTTTGCACATCGATCAATTATTTTAAAAAAGGCGGAGGGTATCTTACTGTTAATTCTCCATGGCAACCAACAGTTTAATCTCCATGTTCTCTTCACACCTTTTTTTTTTGACGCACGAAGAAATAATTATTTTTTCGAAGTTCAAACTAAACCTTTCCTCATAAGGTTTTCGACGCCCGTCACGTGACCACCCCGAACGAAATGTTTGAAGTTCTCAAGGCACATCTGGAGTATGCGACAAATGACGGAAACCTGAGATCTGCAATCACCATTTTCCCACAACTAAAAGAACCAAATAAGAACTACCGAGTGTGGAACCCTCAGTTGATCAAGTATGCGGGTTACAGACAACCAGATGGGACAGTGATCGGCGATCCAGCAAGTGTTGAAATCACAGAGGTCTGTACTTCTCATGTCTGAGGGGTGACTGCCCCGCCTATTTTTGCCTTTACTCCATCACTTACCTTACGGTTAGTTCTTGAAGGCGCTTGCAAGCCTCGCAATCCATAGCAGGCTCTAATGCTTTGCTTGTTAGGGCCACTTATGGGAACCAATGTGTTGAAAGTGTATTATAAAACTTTTATTGGCCTTCACCCCTACCCCTCTCCTATAAATCTGCAGTGCAGAGCATTTCAAAAAACTAAGGGAAAACACCGAACAAATCATAAAAAAAGCTCCACATCAAAGACCCAACGACACTCGAAGTAAACACATGTGCATGAAGATATGATTGGCTGTGAAAATAGCGTTGGTGTTTTCAGACCTTCACGAAAGCTTAGTTAAGTATCACCAATGCTTTTCTGCGTTACCTTCTGGATTTATGTGTAACTTGTTCTGAATAGGTTCCACCTAGTTAATAGGGGAAACATTTAAAATGCAATGGAGGAAAAACAATTCTTAATATCCTTTTACGTGAGTATTTAAATGCGAGTAAACCTGGTGTTGTGGGTCTTAAAATTTTTTTACATATCTTTGCAATCTCACTTTGGACTTAAGTCATCACACGCGAGTATGTTACGATTTATTTTTCAGGTTTGTCAGTCGCTTGGTTGGAAAGGTAAAGGTGGTAGATTTGACGTGTTGCCCTTGGTATTACAAGCTAGTGGTGGTGTCCCTGAGTACTTTGATATTCCTGAACACCTTGTTCTTCAAGTGGATATTAAACACCCAAAGTAAGAAACAATATTACGTCGCTTCTAGCTGAATTGTATGATACACTCCCACTTACTGAGATGACATGAATCTTTCAAAATTGTGAAATGTAACTTCAAGTTGAAAATCCTGTCATTTCGTTTAAAAATCATTTTTGATCTCATTTACGACGTTTCCGCTGACATTGCGTGCGTAAGGTAGTGAAAATTACGTCAGTAGTTAGATAGGCTTGTTTGGGGAGTAGCCAATGTGGAGTCTGTATTTGTATCATGTGGCAGGACTCCACCAATCATATTACAGCATTTCTAATATCCCCCAAAATCTGAATCGCCACGCAACACCATAAGAATGACAGTTCAGATTTTGGGGAATATTGTAAGTCCTGTAATATGATTGGCAGACACCTGCTACGGGGTAGGCATACTGAATCCGCATTGGCTACTCCCTATACCACCGTTATTAACTACTTCAGTCAGTATTCCTAGCTGCAGCAGGTGGCGGGGAATAATTTGACACTATGACTGATGATATTTCCCTTTTAGCATCCACTGGATGTGACATGCATCCTAAACTTGGGCGCTAATGTCATCGTGTTATATTTCAACAGGTATCCTTGGTTCAAGAGTCTAGGTTTAAAGTGGTATGCTCTACCAGCTGTTTCTAACATGACTTTGGACGCAGGGGGACTGGAATTCACTGCTGCACCTTTTAATGGATGGTGATTTAATTTATTTCAAGTTGTCATCTCGAAGGAGACACTCTTATCTTTCGTCGGTTTATCGGAACCCTACCAGCCTGCATGTGTTTTTGTACGTTTCAAGGCCTGTTGCCATTTAATTCTGCCACCTTCTTTTTGGATAATTTTTTTTTAATTCCCCGGAAATGTCCTTTGTCTTCTCACAATGCCCTGTTCCTCAGAAGAAGATCAATGAGTACTTTGATCTATCAGATAGAGATGATCAGCATTGCATTCAGAAGGAGCGGTACTAGATCTAATGATAATGGCTTTGCAAGAAGCTCCGAAGGTGTGGGCTAGTCACTTCAAGTGAAAACTTGGAAAATCACAAATTAACATCATGAAATGAAACTAAATATAATAATAGAAATATATTGACTCTGCTAAACATGTTTTAGGTACATGGTGACAGAGATTGGGGCCCGTGATTTGGGCGACCAGCAACGTTACAATATGCTCGGGGTGAGTGAAGCATTTCAAAGAGCAATTTTATATACAGTGTTGAAAGTAATCCTGTGTTGTATCGGTCTTGCGTTACCTCTTGCTGTGATTGGCTAAGGGTGTCTATTAACTTTTAACTCTCAGAGGTGATTAAGATATAACTTCTCCCTATAAAATGATATCCATACATTCCTCAGTAAACACGTAATGAGAATACTCTAACTTATCTAACATCAAAGTCTCGAAACAAGTTCAAGGAAATGTATAGCAGCTAGATGGGATAATTAACATTAAGATCTTAAAAGTCAAACGGTTAACCTTACTTCTGATCTGCCGTTGTCATTATTTGACTTTAACGACACAATCCGCAAAGTTAGAAGAAGGATTCTTGCGTGGTTCCTAAAATCAATCAGTGTTCTAAGTGTTGCAGTATATTCTAGGAATTGCCAAGGAATGTGATGCTCACTATACTTAACATAAAAAAGTATAATATCCTGGTCAATATTTATCTTAAAACATTTACTTGCAGTTACAAAAGTAACTATCCCTTCTCGATGCGCAGATGAATCTGGTCCTGATACATATATATTTTTTTTTTTTTGTATGCGTTGTTTCTGCTGTTTCTAGGTAGTGGCCAAAAAGATGGGGTTAGACACCAAGAGTAACGTCAGTTTATGGAAGGATTTTGCCATGGTTGAAATCAACTATGCTGTGATGCACAGTTATCAGGTAAGACTGATTCATGCTCGTAATATTGCGGCATGAATTAACAAAACTTTCAACAACGAATTTTTTCGATTTACAATACAAGCAGCTGAATCAGCTGGAGTACAAGTCCTAGGAGGCCATACAAAGTACGTTATCATCATGAATTTGTTGAACTTTCATACAAGTCCTTTACTTAGCACCAGTATCAAAACAAAGTCACAAGGTTAGATTAATGGGAGCCAACAATGTATCGGGTGATAGAAAGTGAGGGTAGAACTAATAGAAAAAAAGCCGTTCCAAAGCTTTCACCCACTAATTTTAGTTTGTTTTAGGTTTTCAATGACGTGATTTACTTTCCTTACTTTAACTGTTGCATTTCCCTTTTTTCTTTCTTCTTAGGAAGCTGGCGTCACCCTAGCCGATCATCATTCGACATCAGACTCGTTCATAAAGCACATAGCAAAAGAGGTAAGTATACTGTGGCCTTTAGTTTTATAGAATCACCTTGAGGGCGATAAAAACAATAACAGCACTTGAACTGCATACCCTCAAGGTAATTTTTCACTGAAATGAGAATCGGTTTGGATTTGTTTTTAAGTCGAAATGCACCCGCCCGCCCCCTTATGTTTTGGTTGGATTTATTCAAGGATTAGAAAGAAGTTTCAAGCTCCTTTTTGTTGTGTCATTCGTATCCAGGAGCATTGTTTGTTAATGCATCTTGAGGGCACCTTATTCATAAGGGTAATTAGCCAGAAATGACTGAAAAAAAGTACTTCGATTGGTCACTGGGAGTTAGCTGTAAAAACGTGAACAGTCACAAATTCTGACAAAAAAGGAAATGAATTTAAAAAAAAAATTGAAAAGAAACAAACGTCTTCAATAAGCCAGCGAGGGAACTTTAATCGTAAGGTGTTTAGTAACAATGCTCTTGTACTCAAAATTCAGACGAAGCTGCGGGGTGGCTGTCCAGCGGACTGGGTATGGATTGTCCCTCCCTTGTCTGGAAGTGCTACATCTGTCTTTCACCAGGTGGGTTTATAACCGTGTTTGCTATCAACTCTGACTCCAATATCTCTTAGACACCACTCCTCTTATCCTCAACTTATATATGAGGGTTCCACTCTGCCCTAAAGTTAATTATGAGACCCAGAATGGAAAACACAGTGGTTTAAGGGAAATCGCACTGGACCCTTGTGGAGAGGTTTTCGTTCGAACGATGGCCAGGTCTTTATCAACGGGGCCTTTTTATGATATTCAGTAGCTCGTGTATGTTTACTTACTATTTGTAATGTTCATCATAGGAAATGCTGAATTACATTTTGAAACCAAGCTACGAATACCAGGTAATATTATGACTGTTTCTAACATTTCTTACAGTTGTAAATTTATCAAGCGTCTCTCTGACCCATACCTTATTACTTTGCATTCATAACAGACGGATCCATGGAAAGTTTCTAGTGTCACAGGCAAACCCAAGAGGAAAATCTTCTTCAAAACTGTGGCCAAGTGAGTTCTTTACATGGATCGCCGTTACACTGAGCAACAGATCAGTCCAATATAAACAGTTTATCAATACCTCCATTTTTCTGGTCCAAACTGTAGGAACACTTGCCTTTTTGTTTCATTCCCAAGTAAAGCAAATTGTTATCGGTTGGATCAGTTTTGTATAAGACCCTGCTACCTGTAGTAACTTTTGTGTCTTGCAGAGCAGTTTGTTTCGCTGCCATCCTCATGAGGAAAATTCTATCCAAGCGTAAGAAGGTCACCATCCCGTTTGCTACTGAGACAGGCAGATCCGAGACTTTTGCTCGAAATTTGGCTCACCTTATGTCAAACACGTTCGATGTCAAGGTGTGTCGTTGTTCACTTGGCAGCTCTCTTATCTAAGACACTTAATTGAAATTAATAAAAGGAAGTAAGTTTCTAAGGAAACTGTGGTGCTGCGTCGGTGGGAGCAAAAAGGTAATTTGGTTATATCAACCAAGTTGAAACTGCAAATTGGCCAACGTAGAGTTAAAAAGCTGACGTTTCGAGCGTTAGCCCTTCGTCAGAGCCGAATGACGACGGGTTAACGCTCGAAACGTCAGGTTTTTAACTCTACGTTGGCCAATTTACAGTTTCAACTCAGTTGATACTAGCAAATTAATTGAAATTAGTTACGTTATACAAATAGATTCCATGTTGTTGTTGGTCTGTACAGTAATAGATCACAGATGACCTAAAAATGTGGTAAGAACAAAGTAGTGGCACACGCGGTGCAGCTGAATGCGCCACTTATGTCAAGAAACCATGAAAGAAAGCCAAGGCGTAGTTCACTAAGCCAGACAAATATCCCTGGTACCCTTCCCTGATACTACAGTCTCCATTTGCCTTATTTGGAGCAATTGGATGATAGCAAAGGCTGAGTCATTTACTCCTCAGGTCCTCTGCATGGCTGAGTACGACCACGCCCTACTCACACAAGAGAGCCTCTTGTTGGTGGTGACGAGTACATTTGGCAATGGCGAGTCTCCGGAAAATGGCGCAAGTTTCTATGGTTATTTAAAACACATGAAGGAGAACTGCAACGCAAAACCCTTGAAAACCCTTAGGTGAGACTCAGTGATCCACACAAGAGTTTTTTAATCAAATATTTTGAAATGCATATTCCCATCTGCTGGAAAATAAAAACAAGACAAATAGGAAAAAACAAACAATCCAGTAGGTTCCAAGATTTCAGTCATAAAAGTTTGAGCCAATCAGAGAAGGGTATGCAAAACCTTAAGATTCAGCGTTGCACAATTCAGAAGTGGATTTCACAATTCTCTATTTTCCATGAATTTTCTCTGCAGGTACTCGGTATTTGGACTAGGATCTAAAGCTTACCAAAATTTCTGCGCCTTTGGTCACTGCGTCGACGACTACTTGAGAGACCTTGGAGGCCAGGCAATTCTTACCATGGGGGAGGGGGATGAACTTAATGGTCAGGATGAGTCTTTCAGAGAGTGGGCTAAAGACGTTTTTAAGGTAGTGTTACGAAAGAGAGCGCATCATTTTAAAATTTAATCTTGGATTAAGGAGGATAAAGAAATTTTCTCTAAAGATGGTGGAAAAAGATCACTCATCACAGTATTCTCCTGTTGTTTTCTTTAATTGGATGTAAATTCATATGGATAAGAACAATAATCAGAGAAAAATCTCGTATTTTTTCATCTATGCCACCATTGAAAGTTCTTAGTGTTCATTTCAGGTGGTCATACACTTAGATGCATGAGGCAGTTACAACTCTAGAACAGCTTTAGAGGCTAGCTGAAGTTTGTTTTCCTGTTTTGATCGTTTCTCATGCTTTTTGCTATTGATTTTCAGGCAGCCTCTAAGTCGTTTGGTTTGAATGGTGAAGAAGCCACTAAAGTGGTCAGTGCATCATTAAAGAACATGTCTATAGGCTGGAGCCCAGGCCGTTATCGTTGGGTAGAAGAGCGAAAAAAACCGTCCAGCCTGTACTCTAGTGAGTACATTTATTTCGTTGTGAGTCAAAGTTTCAAGCTACTAATAAAACTTTAAGTTATATCTTGTTTTCTTCTTTCAGATCTCTCCAAGATTTACAACAAAGCTGTTTGTTTTGCAAAGGTCAAGTCAGTCAAGCAACTCCAATCAAAAGATTCAAGGTATTAGACTTAATACCATGTGAACTAATCTTTGTTTCTGTTTACATTTCCATCGTACCTGTATCTTTTTGAGATCGGAAGGGTTAATGGTTTGTCCATATGCTAAGTTGACAACAGGCAAAGAAAATTGAAGTGTACAGTTCTGCTACTGAACTTTTGATTAGGCTACGTTCACATTTGGTACTCGAGCACGATGAAGTTTTGACTTAGGCTGCGTTCACACTTGATGCTCGAGCACGGTGCCCGAGTACGATTCTTTATGGGCACTAATGTGAAAACACCTTTTTTTTCAAGTACCCACACCAGAATTCGGGCACCGCGCTCGTGCCCGAGTACTAGATCTTGACCTTATACACGGGCGCTGAACTGGCCACTGATATATCGGGTACCCAGTGTCTGAACACAGCACCGTTTTGTGCCGGCACCCTGGCACTAATGCTCGAGTACTAAGAGTGAACGCAGCCTTATGGAGCTCATTCAGACTTTCAGTTTTAAATTATATTTGAAACAATCTTAAAAAATATTTTTCATATCATCATGATTATGACGGTTGTTCTATTCTCCACTTGCTGTCTCTTACATAATTATCAGCCGCTCGACTATTTTGGTTTCCCTGGATACCACTCAAAGCAAAGAGCTGACCTTTGAACCAGGGGATCACCTGGCGGTATTTCCAGCAAATAAAGCCAGTCTTGTTCAAGAGTTGATTGACTTGACGCACGAAAAACCTGATCCAAACCGGCCAATCAGGATTGAAATGGCTCAAGAGGACCCAGGTAAAATGCTTTACGACTTGTTTTGAGTGATTATTCCGTCTTTGTCTAAAAAGTTTAATCCTTGAGCCCCTAAGAGCGACGGGCTGCTCGGTATTTTCTCCTTGCAGTATCACCTTGAATCAAAAGTTTTAGTCATGAGAATAAAGGAAATGATCACCAATTTGAGAAGCTGCTGATTGTCAAATATATTATCCCTGTCAGTACCACTGGAATTATAAAGAGAATCGAACGCAATGGATGATATGATTGCTTATGTTGGAGCGCAAAGGGTTAACCGTGTTTAGAGCTTTTATTGTGTCTCACAGAGAAACCAGGTGGATCAAAAGTATGGGAACCAGTTAGCCGTCTGTCTGTGGCATGCACTATGAGAGAAGCCTTGACAAGATATCTGGACATCACCAGTATCCCCACACCACAGATGCTAAGTTACTTATCTAAAATGGTACGTTTGTTCATACAAGAAGTGTGGTCAAAGTGACAAAATACTACCGCAGCTTATCCCGGGTTCTGCAATAAGAGGGGCCTCTAGAGTCTTGCTACTCCTCACTGGCGGGATACTACACCGCTGTCCATCACAGCATGCCCCCTTCCTCCCAGCAAATCATCCCGTTTCCCTGAAGATATGCCTATAATAATTATTTTAAAATCCTAGGTGCCAGGTGGAAAGACAAAGTGTAGGAGCAAAGTCTCAGCCCAAGAACGTAATATGATGATCCGGATAAGCCTCGTCTGGGATCGGACCTGAGCCTGCAGTAGCTAGTAACAGTCACTGCAGGCTCAGCTTATATCCGCCAGCATTCGGAAATATGTGATGGCCAATCTATTTTTTGGTTGTAGCTGATATAGAATGTTTTTCTTTTCTGAATTATTGCAGGCAACAAGCCCACTGGAAAAGATGCAGCTTGAAACGCTCGGCAAGGTATCCTAACCTTTCTACGCGTTAAGGTCTGCTACTATGTTCCCCTTCCCTTGCATCTTTCTTACTCTCCACACTTCCTGCCCACTTCGTACCTCGATAAACATACGCTGACTATGAACCAATGTCCAGATAAATAATTTTTTCAAAGCAGTCATTTTTCGACCAGAGAAACGTTGGTTTGTCTTTATTGAAACACTCATGCCGTATTACACTGAATATGTCATTAGGGCGGTTTACGATACGAGGACTGGGCCAGAAGCAAAGAGTGCAGCATAGCCGAAACATTGAGGGAATTTCCATCCGTACAAGCTACCGCTGACCTGTTGTTAACACAGCTTCCTGCTCTACAGCCTGTAGGTCGAACTCATAACCACTGCCTGCTTTATTTTTACTTTTACTTTATGGAGAGGATCTTACATAAATCATGGTCACAACTCATGTAATATTCTGCCATTAACCTGCGCGAATGAATAGACTGATTACATGAGTTAACCCACGAACTTCTCAGTTTTTATAAATTTTGGTAACAGGATGGTTTTCTTCTATGAGTTGAACCTTAGTCATGACTTAAAGTAAGTCGTTGCAGTCTTCGTCGTCTTTTTATACAGTTTGATCTTAACTTGTCTTTTGATCGTTTTTCCTTTACAGAGGTTCTACTCGATATGTGTGTCTCCTCGGGTATATTCCAAAGAAATTCACATTACTGTGGCAGTAGCTGAATATAAAAAGAGAGGTAAGATCCATATACATAAAACACAATTGACCTCGTCAGTCCAGTCTTTCATTAGGCATGAAAGGTTAGATTACTTAGCTTAGACTTAAATTTTGTCTTAGACTAGAAGAGAAAATCACCTCTTTGTTTGCCTTTTTTCCTTTTCTATTTGTTTTCCCGACAGTTAAACCAGAGTATGGGTAGTCTTCTGTTACCCCAAATCAGAATATTTCAATTGAGTGTTGAAAGTATTTCGGGATTACACAGTGCTCTGAGACTGGTCCACAAAAATACTGGTATTTATTTTAGTCTTTGATTGGTTCCTTGGGAAATTACATTTATTTCCTCTGATAAGCAATTATGATATCCTTGGTAGACTTGGTAAACTCGTTAAAATCCCTGAGATCGAAATTTCGCTCGAACTGTTGTTAACAACGACATCTCTGATGGAAGTTAATGTCAAAGATGCATTCATCTTTAGCCCGCCATCAGTGAGAATAAATTGAATTCTAGTAGATAAATGACCGAGGGCGTAGCTATAGCTAAGGGGGAGAGGGTCTCGAGTTGCCCATAAGAAAAACACGATGAGTACCCTCTGTTTGATCCAGTGTGAGTCCTCCTTCGAAAACTCCCAGCTATGCCCTTGAAGACGTCTCGTCGTGGTTGTCTTCTAATTAAATTTCACAACTCAGAATAAAAAGCAGGATCTCGAGTGACACTGATGAGGAACCTGCTTTTCCTGTTTAACTAGTTTTAGTGTTGCCCTCTCTATTTTTCTTTGCAGGTGGTCAAGGCTCACTTCATCAAGGCGTATGTTCCACATGGCTCCAAAAATTGAAACCTAGTGATGTAATACCTTGCTACATCAGAGCGTAAGTTTGTGTGTGCGATATAATTACTCGACCTCTAATGGCACACCAGATTTTCTTTGATATTTTATTGTGCCTATGGGGCATTGAGTACCAGTCAGTCAAAACGGGTCTACGTAACTCATGGGATTTATCTGTGGTTTCCTTATAGTCTTAGTGTCCCCTTAGTATACTTACTAGCTTGTGATGGAATATTTCTCTTGTGTGATAAAAACTAATTTTATCATCTCACTTAGGGCCCAATCTTTCCATCTTCCTGTTGATGGCTCGCTGCCAGTGATCATGATTGGGAATGGGACGGGTATTGCACCTTTCCGTTCTTTCTGGCAGCAAAGGATGTTTGACATTAACAACAAATGTCCACCAATTTCAACGGAATCAGGTAGGAGACAATGGGGGGAAATGTTTCTGTTCTACGGCTGCAGAAATCCTCGACAAGATGATATCTATCAACATGAAACTGAGAAAGCGAGGCAGGCAAGAGTAATCACAAGTGTCCACACAGCGTATTCCAGACAGGAAGGAAAACCCAAGGTACATACTGTGTAAATTTTAGAATGCGGAGATTTACAGGTTTAAGCCACGGAATATTGAACATGAATTTCACTCCAAGAATTACTGTATAACGGTATGTCCTATTAATTTCCAGAAATATGTTCAAGATCTACTAAAGGAGGACTCGATCAAAATCTGTGATTTGATACTCAAAGACGATGCGCATGTGTTTGTATGCGGCGGGGCTGCCATGGCTGATGACGTCAGAAAAACCTTACAGGTACCGAATAGAGATCGAATTGTATGCATCGAACTGCTTTCCAGTACATATATCTTATTAGACGTTTTGTTGTGTAGTATCGCTGAGTATTCTTACGAGTTGTGCCGTATTTTGACTCGCCCTTCGGGCTTGTCAAAATACAAACAACTAGTAAAAATACTCAGCGATACCACGCAACAAAACGTCTGATACGAGATTTATTATCCAACACGCTAAATTTTTATTTCAGTGCGGGCGAATTTCGCAGACATTTCTGGAGTACAAATATCGCGTGATATTTGTACTAGTCTCGCGCGTTATTTGTACTCTACGAAGCACGTTTGGGTAATAAAGACACTCTCACGGTGTCACTCGCTAACGCCATTAAAAACATCCTGCGAGACAAAGCTATAACACTTTAAGCCGAATTTATGTCGAGGTTACTTGGTTAGTGGCTCATTGATTCAGGGAGCTAATCTAGGTTTCCATGGCTTGCAAAAGACAATTTAGACTGCGATTATTGCAGCTCATCCTTAGTAGAGTGGTAGTCGATCGGGGATGAACCCTCCTCCCAATGAAAAAGAAATTCGTGTTAGTCTATTGAGAGTACCCCCCGAAGAAATTCTGAGGCGGATGAGGGAGAAAGAGAGTGCAGTGTCCAACCCAAGAACATAGCAAACGGTCTAACTTAGACTTTTTGAGTTTGAGTCTACGCGCTGACCATTTTGACACCTGTCTTGTTAGCCGGATCTAGGGGATTAAGCTAAGAAATAGTAGCTTTTCATATTCTAGGTTTCTGTTCTTAGTTGTGGTAAAAAATAGTAGCTTTTCATATTCTAGGCTTCTGTTCTTAGTTGTGGAAAGGGAAATAAGTTCTTTTTTCCCCCAAGTAAATCATTAAACATCGAGAAGGAATTCCGTCCTCCGCTGATGCTACATTGTTAACGATCTTTGCTAAGGTGTTGTCACATATTCATTTCTTTATATTTGTTTAAATTTCTCTTTTTCACAAACCCAACAGAATTTGTTAGCTGATCGTCTTGATATGTCACTCGAGGGTGCTTTGGAGTTTATGCGCAAACTGAGGGTAAGTTTAATTAATTTTAATTTAACATAATTTATATAGCGCTAACTCCACTAATTGACCAAAGCGCTTTACAATTCATAATATTAAAATAATTAAAAAGATCCCACTGGTAATAAAATATGAATAAATTAAAAACCTATTTGAAGACTTATTTATAAAAATATCACAGTAAATCCTATTCCAAATTATCAATAAGTTAAACATTATATGCTTTTTTAAAAAGATCAGTCTTTAAGTGTTTCTTGAATAAATTAAGTGTATCTAAACTTCTAAGATCTAATGGCAGCTCGTTCCAGAGTTTAGGTGCAGCAACGGAAAAGGCCCTGTCTCCGTATGTTTTAAGTCTTGACTTCGGAACTACCAGAAATTTTTGATCAGTAGAGCGTAGCGTACGTGAACATGTACGATAACTAAATAATTCCGTGATATATAATGGTGCCATAAGTGTTCCGCGGTGAATCTTTCCCGCGCTTCAGTCCCAACGGTGAAGGGAAATCTGACAGAATTTCATAATTCTTAGAGTTAAATCATGATAAGTGTTATTGGTGTATAAAATTCGTAAGTAAACCAGCAAAACTACTAAGGGCTAAGGATTGCTCAGAATGGAAAAGACTTTCACGGCTTCAAATTTACAAAAAAAAATTTGATATATAGACTGTTTTGAAAATATGCATTAACCTCGACATAGCCTCTTTTATTGTTTTCTTTTTACCTTCTCAGTCATCAGGCAGATATCACGAGGATATATTTAGTGTTCCTCAGAGAAACAAGGACTCAAAAGGTGAGAAGTGATTAAGCATTAATTTATCAAAAAAGATTAACTATTCTTCTCGGGTGTTACCTTTGATTTTCGAGGATCTTACATATTAGTTAGGATAATTTTCTTCCTCTTCTCGATTCTCAGAAAACGAAGAACAAAAAGGGCGTTTTGAATAAATCAGTCCCAGGCCTATTACATGATCCAGATCGTACCGTGAGGTCCCGGCTCCGTAATGAAGACGGAGCAACAGAATGTATTTGCCGAATATATTCGGTCTGCAACTTCAACTGAGCGTAGTGAGTCCGTTTCAAATACTGTGAGGCAGTAGATTCAGTAGAGCACTGATTCCAGAGTCTCCAGAACTTACATGGTTATCGTCGTAGACATAGAAAGAGATAGGATATCGTTACTCAAATGTATTACGGTATTTTATGTGAAAATATAAAGCAATGTCAAACTTGCAATTGTTTTCTTTTGTGTGTGTCTCAGTCTTGTAGAAAGAAAACTACTTGAGTTTGCTATGGAAACTTTGGAACACTCAAGATACCTAGTTTTATCCTTTCCATTTTTAGCCATCTTTGTTTGGGCTTAGTGTTTCATTCCTCTTTTTTTTTTCGTATCCAATGATAATTTGCGTTTACCTTTAAGTTTACAAAATATGTTCAGCAGATATCGTCAACCAAATACGGTCAAAGCTTGAAGTTGTTGTTGTTTATTAATATTATTTTACAGAACATTACAAGCAAATTTACACAACCCGCATATAGCATTAGCTAGTCTTGGCGGGTATTAGAAATAAGTAAGTAAATACTACACATTGCAAGCTAAAGAAGTTTGATTTACAATGTAAATTTTTTTGACGCCCTAATTTTGAATTCAACGTCTTTCATCGCTTTTACACGAGGAGTTGTAAGCTCAGTTTCCCTTAGTGAAAAATTCGCTAAATTTCGGTTTAAACCGAAAAAAATTGTTGCCACAAGAGTTGTAGACATTGATGACTGTCACTGGAACTTCGACGTCCGCTCTATGATAAAAAATGTTTGGTTTCTGTACGAGTTTGGAGAAAGCAATGGCGATGAAGCGTACAAGGACAACTGCTATGGTAGGTATTGAGTTAACCGTTTTACTGAGTATTTTGAATATCACTGTGGTGGATATTACAGAAAAAAGCGAGCAAATTTAATTTGAACGCAGTTCTGCGCTGGGTGCATTGGCTTTGAAGTCTTCCTCATTTGAAAGTCATTTTAAACCTGCATAATAATTGTGATTTTACGGGTGAGTAGTTTCCCTTGATTTGGTTGAGTTGTTAATATAGAAACTTCAGCTTAGAAGTAAACTAATACCCCCATTCACACCAGAAAACCTGTTTAGTTAAACCAGGTTTAACTGAATAAAAATCAGAAGCAGAGAACTGAAAAACTAAATTTTCCACAAGATTCAAGCAATTGCTAAATTGTATTTTCAATGTGCCACATTTGAAGTCAACCAAATATTGATTTGAGCAGCTTCTATGGAGCTGTTGTGTTAAACCATGTTTAACAAAACAGCTTTAAAGCATGTTTAGGCTTTGGTGTGAATGGGGTAT